TCATTCGTCCCCTTGACTTTATTTTAATGACGCCATATGGCGTCGCTCGGCTCTTAAAGGTTAAGAAAGAACTATCTCACTTCCTGCTACGATGTTACCATCAATAAAATAAGAACCTGTGTCGGAAATAATAAAATATGGGTGTCTATCGACGAAACTAAGGACGTAAGTGGTAGATTTGTAGCGAATGTTGTTGCTGGTATACTGAAACATGACCAGCCTCGAGATACATTCCTATTGGCATGTGAGGTGTTGGAAAAAGTGAATAATTCTTCCATTGCTGTTGTTTTCGACAATGCGATGAATTTGCTGTGGCCAAATAAGGTAGAACGAGAGAATGTGCTCCTCTTCTTAACGGATACCACTCCATATATGGTAAAGGCAGCAAAGGGACTTCAGGTACTGTATCCCAAAATGATTCATGTAACGTGTCTCGCACATGCTCTGCATACGGTAGCAGAAGAGGTGCGAGAGAGCTACTTTGATGTAGATAAATTAATAGCAAATGGGAAGAAAATTTTTGTTAAGGCTCCACTTCGATTCCAGAAGTTTAAAGAAGAGGCTCCATCACTACCCCTTCCCCCTAAGCTTATTCTAACACGATGGGGGACTTGGCTCAATGCTGCAGATTATTACTGCACACACTACAGTGTGACTGAAAATATCTTCATGAAGTTTGACAGAGATGATTTATCTTCAATTCGAACTGTACAAAATTTGTTTTCATCAACCACGTCAAGAAATCTAGCGTACATAAAATCAAATTTCAGTTTGATATCAAACTCCATCATTAGACTTGAAGCTGTGGGCATGCAACTGTGCAATGCATTACAAATTGTTAAGAAAGTTGAAAGTGAACTACATCAAGCACAGGGCGAAGTTGCTGTGAAAATTAGTGCAAAATTACAAAATGTGCTCCAACGAAATCCTGGATATTCAACACTGTGTACAATTTCTGACATTCTTTGTGGCAAAGAAGTTGAATTTGACAACAGTGAATTAGAACTTGATGCAAGAGATTTGACTTGTTTTAAGTATGCCCCTGTGACATCTTGCGACTTAGAAAGGAGTTTCTCCAAATACTAGGCCATTCTTAGTGTCAATCGGAGGTCCTTCAAGTTCGAGAATTTGAAAATGCATGTTGTCATTCAGTGCAACTCTACTGAAAAAGAAGATTAAGGTACCGTACAAATTATTTACCTGCAACTATTAGCAAACTTTACTTTACTTTTCATGCTAAAATAAACAATACTTTCGTTCGTGTTTTCTCTTTACAGGGTCAGCATTGTGTTGTGATGGATGCTTCAGGGCTTAAAGACATTTATTCAGAAAAAATAACTTTGTACACTTTTCTATGAATCACCATTCAGCTTTTCTCTTTATGGGGTCAGCAATGTGCTGTGATCGATGCTTCAGAGCTTAAAGATATTTATTCAGGACAAAATGTAAACTTCTTAATAAATTGCCATTCTTAGGAATTTTTGTTAAATATTTACTTATTTTTGCGGGCCATTCTGTCATATTTTAGGTCATATTTTGCCATTTTTAGGGCATAAATGCATGCATATTTTCAAAGTTTTTAGGTCATAGAAATCCGAGCCCTACTTATAACCCACAGGTCACACATACATTATAGTTTTACACATGCCAACAGGTTTTTAGAAAACATACATCAAAGAGCTTTTGAAAAACTAGGAAAGATGGCCACATATAATGCTCATGAAAGAGCATATAAGAAGTTTGCAAAATTGATAGAGTACAACACATCTGGCCAGTATACAAAAGTTCTCACTAATAACACATTAACCTCTGATACATACACATGTGGTCAACACGCTGGCAGCAGCCTTCTCGAAGTGGAAACTACGAACACTGCGCATGCTGTCAGCATAGAGTGTGAGGACGTATAACTCACCCCCCTTCAGAGAAATGACAAGCCGATCATATGAGATAAAGGTTGCTTGAGCACCTTCCAGACTGAGCTTTACCCCTTCCTGCACCTCTGAAAACAACATGAAGTAAGTTGATGAGTGCTGAAGACAGCATTCCACTACTTAAGGAGAACAGGATAGCCATCATCAGCTGCCAATCCACAGAGCACATAAACGGTTAAAAGTGCAGAAGAATCTCCAGATATCAAAGTTTACTGGAGTTATATATAGAGAGAGATGGTTTAACAAATGACTAATAAAAATAATACTGAAAAAATGCAAAATGTAATAGAACAGGGAAAAATGTGGGATGACTGACATTTGAAAGCTTCACCCCTCAGCAGAAACAGTACAAGAAGATGAGAAGAGGCAGAGGAAGTGGAGGTGGAAGAACTAGGAGCTATTTTTATATTGAGATTTTAAAACATGTTTATAAATATGATCTTATGGAGTCTTTGCACCTTACAACACAAATATGAAGTCCAAATGTAAATTAAACACCAATTACAGCAGTGATCAGTTCTGTAACACTACTTATCTGTGATTACTTCATTAGCTCATACTATATATAATGTTAACAAAAGGATGACTAGCAAATAAAGAATTGGTACAAATTTGGAAGGGAGTGGTCACAGGCTAGTTTGAAAGACTCTTCCAGCACTTGCCTGGATAGACTGAGGAAAACCACAAAAGACTTCCGTCAGAATGGCTGGTGTCCCCACTGAGATTCAAATCAACCAACTCTTGAACATAAGGCAGAAGTATTACTGCTTCAGCCAACTTGCTCGATATCAGGGCTATCAATAAGTACATTCAAACCAGCCATATGGTGGGTCACAGATGCAGGAACCAATATGCTGTCTGATCAGGTCTATCACAAAAGGGGAGTGACAGATGAGATTCTGCACTGAGAAGGCAGTATCCTAAATTACAGCTAATTCACCATTAAACTTAAATCCATATTAAATTTACGTAACTGCAGAGCATGAAAACTCAGGATATATAAAATAAAATACAACACACCATCAAACTATTTAATTCACTCTTGAAAATATGTTTAATATCATCACAATGCAGACTCACTTAGTGGAAAGTTGGTGCTCACTTCATTGATGCTATTAACAGACACACCATATGGAGGCACGCTCTGGTTCAGATATATGAGGGCATTGATGGCCACCACCAAAGTTCCACCAAGTGGTTTCCTCACGGGAATGGCTTGTGTGCAGTCAAATGGCAAATTTGACATGGACCAAATGATGGGATGCACCTTCTGCTGGATGTTGAGGGATATAGCTACCATGGCACATGTGTCTTGGCGTACAGCAATGCGGCTAAAACATGAGTTTCACTCATAAAAGCTGATGTTCTTACAGAAGCACAGACAGCTTCAGAACCAAAAACTTTATCTTAACCATCTGATGTTTAACTTATGTCACTTACATATATGTTGGGAAACTTCAATCCCAGACCACAATTAAAGGTGACAATATAGATTACTTTGAAAACTCCAAAATATTAAGAAATTAATTTAAATATTTAAAGTTTTTATTTGTATTGCACAGCATAAACTTACAAATTTATCTTTTATAACTTTAAAAATGTTTGTGATACAATACAATAAAGCTCGTATTTCAATAATGTGATTGCTAAAAAAGAGTGGGAGGCGATTCAAAATGGAATTTAATAACTATGCCTAGAAACCCATCACCAAAATTGTTGATACATTATATATTATGGTTAACCTGAAATTATTTGAAAATTCTCAACTTTAAGAAGTTGCTCGTCACCATACCGACCCTACGACAAATTATGCAATTACAGACCATGCTGTAATGCAGAATGATTCCTGGAAATGTGTCAAAAGACACCAACACTCTTATCTGTAGTGTAACGTGTACAGCTGTTGACATGCAATGACTGCGAGACAGACGAATAAAGAACATCCCTTTCTAGTCAACAGATCAGTAAACATGTTCACACAGCAATGAATATGCATGCAAAAATAAAGTTACTGTTGGAAATGGTGTTTTCTACTTGGTACATGTAAGGGGGTTATAAGACAACTGGGGTAAACCAGTTAGTTGAGAGTTGAATTCTGCAGGGGAGGCTGAGAAGAGACAGTGCTACAGTTCGGTTGTGGGATATCTGCTGGACAGTGATGACATGAGCACAGGAGCTGAAGACTCTCCATTGTTGAAAGCTGTTACTAAGCGATGACTAGTGATGGAAATGAAGGCTGGAGAAGACTTAGCACGTAGTTATTTGTGAAGTGTGGAAATCAGTGAAGTTCTTGTAGCTCTGAGTGGTGTGTATAAATTACCAATAAATCCATTCACCAATTCACACCCTGTCTATAGTCACCCCTAAATTGTGACAGTTAACATTTAACCATTAATGTAATCTTTCAATTGCTGGTCACTGAGTTACAGAACTTATTAGTCTTACTATTCATAAAGACAATGAAAATTTTGGTAATTTCATACTTCACACATAGTGAATGATTTTGAGGGAACAAACAGAAATCATTAACTAGAGGAAATTTAACATCAAGATTACAGGAAGATAGATGATGAAAACAATGGATATTTCTGAAAACATTCATTTTATTTTGATTTTGTGATACTCAGCAACTTGACATGGGGAGTGATCTTACCCTGGGAATGTCTTAACAGGCTCATACAGGATGAGCAGGGTGGGCTCATAATAGCCATGCAAGAACTGCACATCTATCACATTGTCCATTTTCTCATCCAGTTCCTTCAGAACTATCATGTATGAAGCAAGGACTGGGGCTTTTGTGTTGGCAGCACTGCTACTGGGTTTAACATCTACCAATTCAGGGTCATCCAGAGCTGTCTCCCGACGAAAGGGAAGGACTACCAACTTCCGCCCATATACTAACATGACTGCACACCGACCTTCAGGATCAACCCGCACCATTGGAATGTGATAGTGCTGAGTCCAGCCCCCCTGAAACACCAAACATCAAAATCACAAAGCATGGTACATGTACTGGACTACTCAGCCAGGAAGCTTGGGACCTGACCTGTGCTGGATAGCACTCCTTTCCTTCCACATAATTTCATAAAGCAAATGCCATGTCATTGTTTACATATGCTAAACCACCCAGAAGAATATTCACATTGAACTGATACATCTAAATCCCCACAAAGTGCCTTAGCTTGACCCATGACATGGTGTGACTGGGTGGAAACTTTTTGCTCAAGTACTGCCTAATCCATTCAAACAATGCTTTGTCTACATCCACAAACTTGGTGCAAGGCTTCATGTTTGTCCATTGATTTAGGCACATCACTTTGAGTACAGAATTTAAGCAACTGTTCCTTCTATTTCTTAAGATCATGTATGATAGATGGTCTACCCCCAAAAACTTTCACTAATAATCACACAAAAGTACCATTTCCTAATTCCATCATCTTCTTTATACTCAGCAAAAAGCCCTCCCGCTAGTCACTGGATTTCATACTGGCCTTTTAGGCATGTCTTTTAAGAGAAAATTGGGGTAAGTAACAATAATCATGGATAAATAAGTATTCACAAAAGGTCTGGCTTGAACTGAGGACTATGTGCCACTCAAAGCAGAAATCCAGCAAACTACTCAGTCATTTCCAACAAACTGCAGTTAAATTTCTGGTCCTCCCCAGATTCATGTGTGCAGAATACCAAGTTTTGGCATTGCAGCTTAATGTCTAGTTAATAAACTTGACTGGACTTCAAATATTTGTGCTCTTAGCAAATTCTGAACAGTGCACTTTTACTGCAGTCTTAGCAAACTGTACTTTCTCATATTTTAAAATGAAAAATTGGGCTCCATCACAAAGATATGCAATACAAAAATCATGCACCCCCATTATTCAAGATACTCAAAGACGAACACTGATTTTCATTTAGCAGAGAAAATAGTCATCACTGTATTAACCATAACAAATAATGAACTTCAGCTGCTGCTATAGCCTGAATGTGATGAAGATTTATGGTAACGGTTTAGTACTGTCATGGGAATATTTCTGGAGGCTGGCTCTGTCTCCTGGAGAAAGGAACTGGCACCTCTTTATTTCACATAACTTGCCTTCAGGCTTTTAACTTTTACAGTGAACCTTTATCTCGTAAGATTTGAGGCTTTCACGGCGGTGACTATGAAGAAAGCAGTCTTCTGGGATTTGGCACCGTGTATATGTGACCACATATACACGGTGCCAAATCCCAGAAGACTGCTTTCTTCAACCTTTATCGCATTTTCTTACCACACAAAACCAACCTCTGGTTTATTTTCAGAGTCTAATGAATCTCACACTGTAGTTAATAATTCATTTAACTAGAAGACTGAGACAGATCTAACTTACAGATTGAAGTTACAATTACCAAACATGCTACATGCATGTGCAATAACCTGGAAAGGAAATTCTTTATAACTTGCCCAGTTTCTGCTTTTTTCTGGGTGGAAATGAACCTCTATCAAAACCAGGTAACAAACCATTCTTGCATGGCAACACAGAATCTCTACTTCGTCTAAAGAAACAAGAGGACCAGATTTTGTGTTGTTCTTGCATGCAGTTGTGTCACAATTGTAAGAGCTCAGGATGCAGAGTAGACTTGCGTTAGAAATCCCAATGCTGACACTTGCTATAGCTTGTAAGGCTAATGATGGGGCCCACTGCACCAATGTCACTTCAATGAGAATTTCAGAATGGCATGACCTCACCATCGACAACACTTGTCATGATCAGGACAGGCACTCTTTAAAAACAATGGCTGGCTTTAACTCCTGTCACCACATGTGTATTTATGAATGTTGTGATGTGGAAACATTTTACTTTTGAATATTAATTCTTTGGTGGGTTAAAGTTTACTATTCTAACATCATTACCATTATTAGTTTCATATAAGCTATCATTTCCAAGAGTTAATATGAAAACACCATATATCTCTGCTTTTGCACTGAACTCTCCTAACACACTTTGCATGGTGCACTTAACCCTTCGCAGGCTGGCGATTTAAACATTTAAATCACCCTGGGGACCGGCATTTTTAAACCTACTACCCTAACTTGTGCACTGTTCATTTTAAAAATTAATATAAAATTTCCTAATTAATTTTATGAACTAAAATTTTTGGAGAACACTTTCCAGTGCTCCTAGAAGTGCTTGAGAGTGTGATATTTCTGGAAACATTCCCCTTTGTGAAGTGGCATTACAGAGAACTTGCAAATGTACACATGCTCCTTTCTTTGTGAACTGTGGAAACACGGCATTGCCTAGAAAGATGCTCCCCTTGGAATGTTCACTCTTCACAATTTTCACGAGGGTATGTTTCTGGATATCACCCGAGAGTCACCCTGTGGGATCCACATGAGGCTTGCGTGGGGTGGGATTGGATGGGCACGGTCGCACTAAGTCTGTGTCTGACTCTGGTTTTCCCGCCACCATCTGCTCTGTAGCCCAAGGCTTTGCCACATTCATCAGAAATGCTTTGTATTTCAATTTCAAATCAGGGTTTAGATTTTTGTGATTTTTTAAATTTTTTACTGTCCCCGCAATGTTAGTAACCGCAATATTATTACCCCCATTATCGTTGGAGCTACAGTCACTTTTACTGTCTGTGGCCACAATTCTTTGCTCTCCCCTGTCACTGCTGCGCTCTCAAACACCATAAATACGCATCTCACAAGGCAGGTCAGCTGGCTCATCGGAAAATAATTTGTCCTTTTCCATACCCCAACACTAACTACTGGCTGATACATACAGCTTGAAGAGCAACAAAGCATTATCGCTTATAGTGGCTTAAGAAAACAGTGAGATCAACTTACTGACAAGTAAGCGAATATTCCAGAGTTTTATTATGCCATTGCGTGCAACTTGGGTGGCGCCAGAGAGATGTATAGTGTGTTGCAACTTATCGTGTTTTAAAAACCTGATAACAGGCGAACGGTCCGCCATGTTTAAAAGCAAAAACCTTTTAAAGGGTGCGCGGTCCGCAAAGTGTTAAGAAACTGATTGTACACACATTCTGGTTACTCATAAAAGCTGTCCTTTATATCAGTACTTTTATCCTTAGTTGGGACATGTGCATTCTGAATAACCATCACACCAGTGACCTCTTAGTATTACACACAACATGCTATAACTAACAGGCTCCACTCTTTTTAACTCCTGATTTAATTCCCTTATGTAAGAGGCACTGTGTCACTAAGTGATGATTAGTATTCCCATTTCCAACAGAAAAAATTGTAACCATCTACTTGTTCAAGTCATTATAGACATTATCTTCAATGAACCATGACTACTGAGATTCCAGATACTCCAAGTGCCAAGTCTCATGACCAACTACAATGCTGTGTGTATCATTTTGTAATATTTAACGGTGTGGAGTTGTCAGCTCCTGTTCAAACCCCAAGCTCGATGATCACCCCTTGTCAGCTGTCTTTCCCTTGTTTTTCAGTTACATATGCAGCTATACTTTACATCTGGAGGCTACTTCCTCCATCCACAACTTGACAATGACTAATGCGATGGTGACAAGGGAATCGCTTAATATGGCTATATAATATTTATTCAAGATTTAAATATTACACCATATAAAGGTGATAGGACACAGAAATCATTTGTAATTAATAAACTGTGACAAAATAATGCACAAAATGTGAGTCATAACAATATTACTACTCCAGCGTAAAGTATAATTAAGTGGTGGTGTATAAATCTCAATCTGAGTACATCAGGATCTGGAAAAGCTTTAATATGGGTGGTGAGGGTCAAGTCTGTTGCCTGCTCCCCCATCCTACCTATGCTGTAGACTTCCCTTCCATCAGAAGCTCATGCACACCTTCACTATTATTTGCTGATGTACCTCCTGTCATTGAGCTTCATAAAACTGCAACAACATGATTAGTCAGTTTAAATTTATAACAGACCCAGGTATCTCAATAACAAACTAAGAATTCTGAGAGACACAAACAGAGAAACAACACTTGAAGGAAGAATAAAAGCTAGAATAAAACTGACATACAGGGGGAGTGGGGGAAGGCCACAGAGAGGAGGTATAGTTAGTGCCTCGTAACTTTAGCCGTGTGGAGCTGTTGTGGAGCACGCGAAGCTGTACTCTTGCTGTGGTGATGTTCAGAGATACTCCCCAAGTGGAAAACATTGCCAACGGAGACCAACTAACAAGCAACACAACGTACTATACACCTAACCACACTCCAAGATGCTATATTCCAAACTGGTAGTGTCCACACTGATATAAACTGATAAGACTGCCCCCCCCCAGCTCCGAGAGAGATGGTATGACCCTCCACCATGGCTAGAGTTCCGAGGAACTAACAGTAGCTGCTAGGCTGACAGTGGGGAAGAATCTGTTTTCATTTTTCCCATGACCTACTTGAGTGTAATCAATTCAAATATGCATGTTATCAATTATACAAATCCTGACTGGGTCACGAAACAGCCTGTATCTTAACACTTCATGGACCGTGCACTCTTTAAGAGGTTTCTCGCTTTTAAACATGGCGGACCATTCACCTATTAACACGTTTTTAAAACACGATAAGTTGCAACACACTATACATCACACTGGCGCCACCCACATTGCACGCAACCACCTGCAGACGCGTGATAAGACTCTGGAATGTTTAGTTAGCAGTCAGTAACTTGACCTCACTGTTTACTTAACCAACTATAAAGGAAAATGCTTTGACTCCTTCAAGCTGTGTGTATCAGCCAGTAGCTAGTGGGGAGAATGGATCAAGGACAAATTCTCTTCCAATGATGTAGCTGACTTGCCTTGTGAGACGCGTAGTAATGGATTGTCATTCAGACAGTGACAGTGACGGGGGACAACAAAGAATTGTGACCACAGACAGTAAAAGTGACAGTAGCTCCAACCATAATGCGGGTAATAACACTGCGCATATTAACATTGCGGGGACAGCAAAAAATCTAAACCCTGATTCAAAATTGAAATACAAAGCATTTCTGACGAATGTGGCAAAGGCCTGGGCTGCAGTTCAGATGGTGGTGACAATACCAGGGACACACAAAGACATAGCACGACCGACCCCATAAGCTCCCACCCCATGATGGCCTCATGTGGACCCCCAGGGCGACTCTCGAGTGATATGTGGAAAAATACCCTTGTGAAAATTGTGAAGAGTGAACAATCCAAGGGGAAGAATCCTTCTATGCAATGCTGTTTGCACAGTTCACCAAAAAGAAGTATGTCTACATTTGCAAGTTCTGTGTAATGCCACTTCAAAAAGGGGAATGTTTCCAGATATATCACACCCTGAAGCACTTCTATGAGTATTCGTAAGTGTTCTCAAAAAATTTTAGTTCAAAAAATTAATTATGAGATTTTATATTAATTTTTAAAGTGAACAGTGCACAAGTTAGGGTAGTATGTTAAAAATGTCAGTCCCCAGGCTGATTTAAATATTTAAATCGCCGGTCCGCGAAGTGTTAACAATCACCATTTAAATACCTTGTTTCTCAAGGTCCATTGGTTACCACTAGACCCACACTTTTCTCACCAATCGATAACACAAAACCTGTTTTGTACATCATTCATATGAGTGTCACAAGATTGTTGCATCTTTAAAGGAATGCTAAAATTTTATCTGAAGGACTGTGGAATTGCATATGAGATCCTGCACATAAGGTTCAACATACCCTCATCTCTTCCTCCTCAAAGTAGTGCAAGGATAAGGTCCTTAGGTCGTGGACTTCAGGATCATATTCCACAACACTGAGCTTGGCATCTCGGAAACTGATGAGCAGTGAATCACGTGCTGATCCTGACAAACTCACTGCTTGCATTGACATGACATTCCCAAACAGGCTATAAGTTGCCAAACACTCCAACTTCATCTTTGGTGGTCGCTTCTCTGGTTGGAAGGAGATATATTTCACATGAGTTTTATCTAATTCTCGCCTGCACTTGTCACAGTTCAACTTCAATCTAACCAGTTCCTGGACCTGCGACTGTGGATCACTAACAGTGTATCTAAGGGCTGATATAAGATATAGAACTCTAAATTTGACAACTTTAAAAATGACATAAATATTGTATTTGAAGCCATAAACAGATGGTTTGAAGCCAATTTACTCTCATTAAATTTTGATAAAACCCATTACATATCATTCACAACTAAAAACAACCACCAAATTGATCTGGACATCAGTTATGCCAACAAATTAATCTGTAAAGTACTTGATACAAAATTCCTTGGAATACATGTAGACAGTACACTGTCTTGGAAAATACATATTGAACAAATTATACCTAAATTAAATGCAGCTTGCTATGCGATGAGATCAATTAAGCCTTTTATGTCACAGGAAACATTGAAGATGGTTTACCATGCCTACTTTCATTCTATTATGAACTATGGATTAATATTTTGGGGGAACTCTTCACATAGTGTAATAATTTTTAAAATACAAAAGAATATAATAAGAATCATTACAGGATGTAGAAGTAGAGATTCATGTAGAGAATTATTTAAGAAATTAAAAATTCTACCGCTTCAATCGCAATACATATTATCGCTTCTCCTATTTGTTGTTTACAACAAAGATAAATTCAAATTAAATTCTGATGTCTATAACATGAATACTAGACAAAAATATAACTTCCACCTACCCTCATCAACTTTATCAGTATATCAAAAAGGAGTCTACTTTACTGGCATAAAAGTGTTCAACAATCTGCCACAAAGTATTAAAAACTTGGGCAATGATACTAAAAAGTTTAAATCAGAGTTAAAGAATTATCTACATGCTCATTCCTTCTACTCTTTAGATGAATACTTCAATGTAAATAGAGAATGATGTAAAATTAAGTTATATTAATTTTTAAGCTAAAATTGCCTATACTTATGTTATGTAACCTTTTGACATGTTCTGTATCCAAAGGTACTAACCTGCTTAGGATTTATAGAATGTAAATAAATTCAATTCAATTCAATAATGTCGAGAATTGTGTCAACAATGCCAGAATTAAAACTGAAAGCAAAATACCTGTATATACATCCTTCTTGCTTGCTGGGTCCACATCCGGTATAAGTCCGAACACTCGTATGATGTTCGCACCAGCCACAACAAGGGACTTCTCTGTCCGACTGAAAAAGTAGCAAGTAAGGGCATGCTCCACTCCTGTTGCTGGATGTGTGACCTTGCATATCGAGTACATGCTTTCAGTTCCAATGTTAAACGATGCACACTTTGTGGTAAAAAAGAACGAACAAGTTCAGCCTTCTTAACTACTGAAAGCAATTTTATTTATAAAACTGCATCAGGCATCTATGACAAGAATAAATAATATTAACCGGTATCAATCCATTGTACAAACTATCCTCAACAACAGTTTTCGGAATTTCGGTACCATTACTCAACGTCGACTCACAGTACGTATTGGAATCCTGTGAATACACACAACACACAACCCATGGATCCGTACATAACATTCCCAACATATGTATGCATGGAAACTAATTCGGTTACTTTTCTGTCGTGAACCGTGACTCTGGGCACGAAAATGACGTGCTGCAGTTATCTTCCCTCGTCGTACACACTTGTCTCAACAAGCATTGTTACTATTAACGTGACCGTAATTTCGTATAAACTGACTTTTTTTTGTGTCAAATTGCTTTTAATTCAATCATTTTTATCAACGTGTTCTTGAAACGTTATGTAAATATCCTGTTTTAATTCAGATAAGGTACGTATTCTGTTATTTTCCCATTCGTTTCAGTTTTTACACAGAAGATTTCGTTCACGATTTCCCCTTACTTTAGTTTTCGAAGTGAGAATATTCGTATATTTACGTGTAATTTTATTCGTTCAGAATGTGCATTTTCTAATCCATCATTAGATTTTGCTCTATTAATTAATTATTTTGGTGTAATATTTTTTAAATTGATCTGTTACCTATCAGTCGGGGTACCACAAAAGGTAGGAAGCATCATTTAGAGTCTAGACCGAATTTACAATTGTGGAGGGTGCCCTAACAGTAAGAAAATATTACGTAATGTCATTTCTTTTAATAACTGAAAATACAAACCAACTTTGCGTGATTTTAGAGAAGTCTCTCGAAAAAAATCTGTGGATTTTATGCCTGTTTTGTGTAGGCCACGAGGCAAGCACCCTGGTCACTCCCCATTAAATCCTACCTTGCCAATAGCCTCTTGTGGCTGAGTATCAGCCTCATGTTCTCACTTGTATGCATCGGTCTGTAGACCGAACAACCGAGGTATAACCGTCACGTCATGTCCCACCATCAGGAGATGCAGTTTATCTAGAGCAGTGCTGGAAATCGGGGTAGAAGCGGATTTGCCTCATTCCAATGCTGGATTTTTATAAGGAATCCGCTTTCTGTCCCTCAAGACGTCGTAAGCATCTTTTGAAATAACGACACAACTAGAAAGATTTTCTGAACCTGCGCTATAATAATTTCATTTAGATAATTTGTGTTGGACAATCTCCCAAACCCTTGCAATGATATGCAGTATTTACTTTATATTGTATATTCATATTGCTCCATCTGGAGCATAGGGCATCTTTAAAACGCATTTGAATTTCATTTTCTTTAATCTTGTAGACAGTATTACTCCTTGGACGGGGATCAGGCCGTCGTAAAGCAACTGTCTACGCAGGACAACACAACTCAAACACAAAATAAACGCAGACAAACATATATGCCTAGCAGTGACGTGCGGTACTATTTTTGGTAAGGGAAGCAGTGGTATCTAATAAACGAACTAATAGCAACCAATTCACCCAAATTTACGTCACTTATTAAGTCAATAGGTTCGTTTTGTATTCTGTTCGATAAACCTGTAAATATTGTAAACTTCTCAAGGTGAACATTGAGTTTATGATCATATTTCCTCAACTAGTGAACTAATTCCACATAATTATCTCGGTCGATAGAATCCACGTTTTCGTCATGACCACGGAGGGCAAGTTGCCTCTCTCCTAAATGGCAGATGATATCAATCAAGCGTTTCATTATTTCTCTATTTTCTTTCACATTTTCGTTATGCTGTAGTATCATCAGGCGCTTTTGATTGCCAAGTTGGCAGTCAATTCGAAATTTCAAGAACATAACAAGTTGCACTGATGAAATAATGTGAGTCTGAGAGATCTCTTGTCGTTTAAACGTTTTATGAAGATAGTTGCTATCACTAAATCCAGTCTTGTTCCATACATTTTATCAATGAGAAACAATAGGCATGGCCAGCAAAACAATTTTCCTATATTACCGTAACCGGATAGCCACTCTGTTTTAGAATACTGTTCCAAATTAAATTTACTCACACATAACTTGGTTTGTGCTTTAAGTTCTGGCAACTCGCATGCCGGTCGTCCTCTTTCTTTAATCATTTTCTTTTCAGAAAAGTCCTTGCTATTAAACTTCCGTTTTAAAAGGCACAGTTGCAGTCGCGTTGTCTGCCATCATTCATTTTAGCTGTCGCCTGTGCGTGTAGGCTAAACCCGCCCCTGCCCTTGTACATTTGCTTCCCTTAACCGCACGATAACTTCTTTCTGATGCGTCAAAATACGATCACAAATACGATCTTACGCCATCTAAATATACACTTACAATATTTTAATAAAAACAAATATTACCTATAACACCCAACATGACTGAAATCACACACATATACAAAGTTAATTTTCACATAACCATCGAAGGAACACATTCCTAGGTTGGCCTAGCCAGCAAACCGAAATTTGATGCCCTTGGCCCCTTCTGATCAGACGAATTATTACGAATATTAACGAAAGGAAACTTGGTCCGACCCATCAAGCATGGGAAGGGAGAAGAAGGAGGCATGTGGCCTTGAGCAGGAATACGCGCTAAATGACAGTATTCACATCCTTGTTATTCAAATTGAATTATTTATGACTTCTTTTAGTTTCGTTTCTTAACTATAGAAGCAATGCTTCCCTTGTTTCCATGCACGTACGCCACTGATGCCTAGAGTGATATTCGAAACCACTATCCCATTGTTTATGCTTTAGACCGTGCTACCACTGTGTTCGGTGCAGCGTCTACTTGGTTCCGATAAACTAAACTCCTGGGCCTATAAGCTGAAGGATGACAATTTTGTTACAGTACTTTCATTGCCAAAGCGTTATAACCTATCCAGGAAACTAACTACTCGCAAGAATATCAATAATAGACGTATAAATACAACCAATGGCAACAATGTTAACAGAAGGAGTACCTTATATACCTTGCGTTGGAATCCATGGGTTGATATGCGTAGCCTGCGTGTTCGAAGTTCTATTCACTCTCTCCTGTTTGTAACTCATTGTTGCTTCGATGGTATACGTTTTCTTCCACATGTATTTTTCCTCGAGTAACTTCTGGATTGGCTTTCCTGAGGCACTTGGATGTGAGGCATAAACTTAACTTCTACTTTGATTGACAAATAATGCAGGAAATGAGGTTGTCAAAGAGATACTCATTATGAATTCAGTATTCTGGGATATAACGTTGTGCTGTCTATTGGAAGTCAACCGACGTTTCGTAGAACGATCTGCTTGCCACTTGCTTTCATATTGGTCTCTAGCTTGGCTTATTATTTGAACCTGAAAAAGGAGGCGACGTGTTCCTCCGAAACGTCCGTCGACATTCAACGGATTAGATAGAACTCTTCGATATAAATAATATGTCACTTCATAGTGAGCACACCAAACACACTTATTGAAAAAGTCACATTCAGTAATTTCCACAATCTTCCTGTGTTCCAGTTTCAGTCATTGTGCTCAAACACACGAGTGCTCAAAAATACACAGAATCGCTTCGGCTTTGACTTCTTTGAACTGATATAACAACGATAGAGATAAATATCTCAATCACTCACTTAAAAGGGTTATATCAAGAATATATCCTTTCATGGATTTTTCTTGCTTTCTGGCATAATAATAGTCTATTCGTCAAGGAAGCGTTTCTCATCGGGATTCATTGATTTATTCATGAGTAATCTGTCAGACGACAGGTCCACAGGCTCTTCCAAAACAGTTACTCCACTTCACGCAATTTAGAGCTTTCTCCTTCAAATGAAAATATCCTCTTCTGTCCCCAAGGTCATCCAGCATCATCTTATGTCTTCTTCCTCGTCTTCTGGTCACTTCTATCCGTCCCACTGTCTTTCCTTCAATAACTTCTTTTAGAAGGCAGTTACCTCGTAAGATACGCCCAATCCAGTTAGTCTTCCGTTTTCTTATTTCGTGTAGGATATTCCTCTGCTCACTGGCTCTAAATAACACTTCTTCATTTCTCACATAATCGGTCCAACTGATCTTCTCCATCCTTCTCCAACACCACATTTCAAAATTTTCCAGGTGTTTCTGATCTACTGCCCTAAGTGTCCAAGTTTAAGCCCCATACAAAGCCATGCTCCAAACGTAGCATTTCCCTAGTTTCTTTCTCAAATTTATATTCAATTTGCTGGCAAAAAAAAAATTGTTCTTCTCGCTAAATGCAGCTTTTGCCATGGCAATCCTAGATTTAATTTCACACGTACACATTCCATCATCTGTTAACAGGCTACACAAATAATTAAAACATTTCACATTCTCCAGTTGATTTTGGTCTATCTTCATTGACTGGGGTTGATTGTCTCGAAATTTTCATTACCTTTGTTTTTCACCTTTATTTCCATGCCATAGCACTTGTTGTGCCCATTTTCTTAGTTATTAAGTATAATTTTTGTAAGATTGGATACTTAGTTTAAAACGACAGACGGCTGGCCGGAAGGCGAGGAGACAGCCGCGGCTGACTCTTCGCATTCCTTGTCAGTCGATTGAATTGTCTTTAGAAAAGACTGTTTACGCATCAGTGGAAAAACTCGGCCAAGTTTCGCTTCGCGCGACAAAGCATGTCCGGCAACTTGCCGACCTCAGGGATTTCGCGCGCGCAGTTTTCGCGACTTGGGAAAAAAAGTTGAATCTTGGAATTGGAAAAGGAACAGGCCGTTTCAGGCACTCTGTTTCTAGTAGTTGCAAGAAACGGACGAGTAAAGCAACGTGTGCCTGTGGAAAACCTTGGGATGGCGCAAGTGTTTTTTCATGTGCATCACGATCAGCTCGAATGAATACTAGCCTGTGGTCGGGTCACTGATTGCTTATTAAAACTTCTGGTTTAAATTATTTTGGTTCGTTAATGTATTCTTAGGATAGAGTTGTTCGAGTGGTTTATTTGATTATATATTCCTTTTTGTTGTTGTTTTGAGAACTCGAGTTATTTGTGGATTCCCCTAGTGCAAGCATGTTTTCCACAGCTTAGGTTAAGAGATACCCACGGACGTCCGATAGGGGGTGAGTACAGTCATTGCCCCCTATACGGGCACAACAAATTGGTGGCAGCGGTGGGATGTTGTTATTCTGCACGAATTACCGGGCTTACGCACGGG